TAGAAGCAGAACCCAGGTGTTTCTGGGCATGCTGGGGGATTATAATATCAAGGAAATATAAGAAAAATATTATTGAAGACAAAATTGGGTTCAAAATTTTGCATTAAATGGTGCTCTTGATGGGGGCAAAAACAGAATGTTGGGGAACCAGCTGGAATTGTAAGAAATAATAATCATGCTCTGTTAACAGTGATTGTTTTGTTCTGATTAAAGAAGGCACACTCCCTTGCCAGGGCAGAGTCTGAATGAAAGGATGAGCCACTGCTTGCTGCTACCTGGAGCTGGGCCTCGCCCCAAGTGTTACTTTCCTTCTCCTGTCTAAGGATCCAGACCACACACACACACACACACACCCCACAATAAATATCAGTCTCCCTCCCTGTCCTCCCCACTGGCCTTGGGCACAGACAGTTCTTCTGAGGCCTAAGCTGGGGAATGTGAGGAAATGTTACAAAAACATGAGCTAGGGCTGGTGGTAACTTCCAGGTTCTTCTACTGTCAAATTGGAAAACCCGATTCATTTATTACCTAGACAGTGGTCCCCAACCTTTCGAACCTCGCAGACCACCAGTGGTCCATGGACCACCGTTTGGTGACCACTCCTCCAAAGGTTTCTTAAACCAGCGGTCACCAACCTTTCAGACCTCATGGACCACCAGTGGTCCACGGACCACCGGTTGGCAACCGCTGACCTAGAACTCCCAGGCAACACCACCAACGGGAAAGAGCAAAGCATCAGGAAGAAAGCCCGATGTCATAACCAGTGTGAGCATACACACACCATGTTATCTTACTCATAGGAGTCCCCCTCTCTCCATCAGTCTTATTCTCACAGGACCAAGGTTATTAAACCCACAGGGACCAGGAGGGAATAACTGGGGGGGGCAGAGCAAAGGTCTGAGGACCTGGATTCCAACTCTGTGGCTCTGGGTAACTCCCTTCCCTCTCAGGGTCTTGGTTATCCTCACTTGCAAACTCAAGGAGCCTAGGTGACAAATAATAGGTGGTGGGAAAATAGAGGTTTCATCCCACACTCAACTCATTGTGGCAGAGGCACCCTGGAATGCTGTGCTGGGTTCTAAGGCTGAATGGCTCAGCAGGGAAAACGCAGTGGTCAGCAGGTACCATCTGCCAGAGACATGGTGGCATCTATGCAAGAGGTGATCTGACATCCCTACCATCCATAAATGCTTAGATGTTCACAACAAACTGTAAGAGGCAAGCACACTGAGTTAACCCCAAAGCGAGAAAGAAGAGAGAAAAATCAATAAAAAAAGAGAAGAACTGAACAGTGGAGCAGTCCAAAGCTCTCCAAGCACCTCACAGGTACTGTGAGCATCCCTCTAATTGCTTCATGGTCTCTGTTCTGTCAGGTACAGCTCACACAGCAGCAGTGAGAGAACTCATTCATGATGATGATGGCCCAGGCATCACATTAAGTCATGCTTCCTTGGCTCCACTTAGGGAGGTGGCAAGTACACAGGACATTCTGTCACAAGAACCGGCCCAAATGTGGGTCACATTTTTTAGTTTCGATGCTTTCGTTTTTGGGTGTGTAAATTCCTCAGCAATGTGGAAACCATTCATCAAAGAGACGTTTTCCTCGAGGGCTGTGGAGAGCCAAGCTGGCTTTAGGACATCTAAACTCAGTCCAAACTGCAAAAGGAAAGAAATCTTCAAATCTGGCACCGCCCTTCATTCAGTCCCTTTTCCTGACTTGGAAAAATAGGATCACTAGCAGAACTGAGAAAAGACAGAAGAGATTTTTTTTTAAAACTACATTAATTATAGTACTGTTCATAATAAATGGGGGAGGTG